GCTTGAGCCCAGGAGTTGGAGGTTGCTGTGAGCTGTGAAGTCACAGCACTCTACCCAGGGGGACAGCTTGAGGCTCTGCCTCAAAAAAAAAAAAAAAAAATTCTTGGGCTCAAGCAGTTCTCTTGCCCCAGCCTCCTCAGTAGCTGGGCTACAGGCACCTACCACAATGTCCAGCTATTTTTAGAGATAGAGTCTCACTCTGAGATCAAGCAAATCCACCTGCCTTGGCCTCCCAGAGTCCTAGGATTACAGGGGTGAGCCACCGTGCCCAGCCTCACCAGCATATATTTTTAAATAGAAATAGGATGAAATCCTAGCTACAGTTACCAGTCAGCTTGTTTTCATTTTGCTAGTGTCATTAAAAAAACAAACAACCCCAAAAAACAAGGCAGCCACCCAACAGACCTTCATTTTATGGATGTACCATATTTATTTAACCAATCCCTTTTGACAGACACTGGGATGCATTCCAAATGTGCTCCCCCCCCCCCATTATGAACAATGCTTTGGGCATTGTCTGTTTAAATGTTTCTTGGGGCCAGGTGTGGTGGCTCATGCCTATAATCCTAGCACTCTGGGAGGCCGAGGCGGGTGGATTTTCTGAGCTCATGGGTTTGAGACCAGCCTGAGCCCGAGTGAGACCTTGTCTCTAAAAATAGCTGGGCATTGTGGCAGGTGCCTGTAGTCCCAACTACTTGGGAGACTGAGACAAGAGGATCATTTAAGTCCAAGAGTTTGAGGTTGCTGTGAGCTATGATGTCACAGCACTCTACCAAGGGTGACAAAGTGAGACTTTGTCTCAAAAAAAATAATGTTTCTTGGGAACTTACTTGGTCAAAGGGCACAAACTACTGATATTTATTATTATTTATTTGGGGGGGTGGGGTGGGACAGAATCGCCCAGGCTAGAGGACAGTGGCATCATCATAGCCCACTGCAACCTTGAACTTCTGGGCTCAAGTGATCCGCCCACCTTGGTCTCCCAAAGTGTATAGGATTGGTGGGTGCCTGCAGTTCAACTGGCTAAGGTGCCAGCCACATACACCAGAGCTGGCGGGCTCGAATCCAGCTTTGCTCTGCCAAACAACAATGACAACTACAACCCAAAAAATAGCTGGGTGTTGTAGCGGGCACCTGTAGTCCCAGCTACTTGAGAGGCTGAGGCAAGAGAATCGCTTAAGCCCAGGAGTTGGAGGTTGCTGTGAGCTGTGATGCCATGGTACTCTACCTAGAGTGACAGCTTGAGACTCTGAAAAAAAGAGTCTCAAAAAAAAAAAAGTGTTTAGGATTATAGCCATGAACCGCAGTGCCTAGCTGACATTTGTTTTTTAACTTTTAATTTAATTTGACTTAATTAATTTATTTATTAATTTTTTTTTTTTTTTTGTAGAGACAGTCTCACTTTTTCGCCCTCAGTAGAGTGCAGCGGACTC